CACTCGTGAACAAATTACTTTGCAAATAATGGAACCAAAGTGTCATATCAAGTGCCCCGATGCCCGCTTGCATCATTTACTCGGTGCAATGATAAGCCTATATTCGATTCAGTTGAAACGACGACATTGAGGCGGACTATCTCTGAGTCCTGTGCATTCGTCGCTTTACGCTTAAGTTAGGTTTGCCTAGAGGCCTATGCCTAGGACGTTTGCAAATTTTTTCAGCATTTTAAGGTGGTAGAAAATTAAAAAAAAATAATATAAAAAAGATGCCTTTTGTGATGCTTTTTGGATTCCTTACAAATGATGGGTGCTGCTGTACTCATAAGGGATGTTTCATTCACATGCAAGTGATGATAGAAGAAATACGCTATTTAGTTGAATGGATTGCAATATATACTATAAGGATATGTCAGTCTGAGATGACGTTAATTTTTATATGTGTATGCATTCATGTGTAGCCCGACATCATGTCGTGAATGCAATTGTTTATAGCCACTTAATGTTAGAGTCATATGTAAAGTGAATTTTCTATAAGTTAAATTAAACATTTTATAGCATACTTTAAAGTGGCCACAACAAATTTTAATCTTAAAACAGTACTAGCCAACCGTTACCAAAGCGAAAGCTTGATTGTGTATGTTTCACAGACGTGAACATCGAGAGAGTAACTCTCTCTCTCTCGGTGCTCATTTCTTGCAAATGGAAAATCATAAAATCAATCGATTTTTAAAAACTAGTTTAAATTTTTTAATCAGTTTTTCTCTTGTTTCGATGCTAGCTATCTGATGCAGCTTACACTTTTTAAATAAAGACCAATTGCTGACAGTTTTTTTTTAAAGATTGTAGATCGGTTCCTTCAAATAGGTTCCTAAAACTTGAGAACTCTTTTGGTATAGAAATAGGTAAAACGCAAGTTAGGGGGCCAAAATTTGTGTCGCAACTCATGATATGAACATTCCACGATTGTAAATACAAAAAAATTCTAAGGAGTGATAATTAACCAAAGGATATTAGTTAAAAAATTGAACGGTATTCGGTGTTTTCCTGCAAGTCAGATGAATATATAAGTATCTTCTTAGCTGAAGATTTGTTTTTACCAGAAAACCATGATTACAATGTGTAGTTGGCCCTGAAAGCATTCAGGTTTCAGTATGAAGGAGTATAAAACTTTTATTAATCTCACGTTATTTGTTATGTTCTAATACGGCGTGAAATTGAGCCCAACGCTGTTTAAAGCACAGAATAGCGTAGCATTGTATTCGATTTATTGAAGAGCACTATCGCCGAGAATGGCAAAGACTGGCTACAGAGTCTCTGGTCTCAAAATAGCAATGCCACTGCAACAGAAGGACTAAACAGGAATTCTATTTTCGTTTGCTCTTAGAAAAATAGAACACATCCTTTTTTACTTTTTATAATTAAATACAAGGTCAGATAAAAAAAAAACTGCAACAAAGTCAAACGCCATAATTTAAATTGAAAGCAAAAATTTCGAAAATAGCATCAAATTTTAGAATAAGTTTAGATTTGTTCGAATACGGGCAGAGAGCGACCATCGGCTGTTATTGCGGCCCATACCATGGCCAGCGTTTGAGTTCAAATGGCCAACCGAAGCTGCACATTTTCAGCTGACCTCTTTGGCAAGTAAACACGATCATTTTGTTTTTTTACAAACTGCTGGACAATGAATGTTTTCTCATCGGAGAAAACCAAATTCGCCAGTTCACCACTTTCGGCCAAGCGAAGCAACTCTTTACCTCTATTGAGTCTATTTTTTTCTGTTGTGGTGTAAGTTCTTGCACTTTTGGGATTTCAATGTCTCGTTCAATATTTGCCGAATGGAATATTGCGATATGTTCAGCTCACGAGCCATTTTTCGGTCACTGCGACTGCGGGTTTCGATCAAGTCGCTTCTTTATTTTCGAACCATTTCTGATGTTGCTGTTTTCTCCCGTCCACTTTCTTGACGATGGGCTACGCTACCACAAAAGATTTATTCACATTTAAATACTGGAGTGCTCCAACGATAGCCACTTGTGGTTTTCCAGCCAAATAAAGAAAACACACTATCACGAATAACTTTTTTCTGGAAAATTCTCACCAAAATGCTTTTGTGCGCTTGTAAACAATATAATGAGCTGTCACTGGAATAATTTTAACATCTGTCGGACGAGTGGTTTGGAAATGACAGCAGTCTGAATTTGGTTGCAGTTTTTTCATCTCACCCTGTACGTTGAAGAACATTGCCGCCAGTGTGGTTGCTTTTGTTGGTTTTACCCACAAATGCACCTTCCCCTTGCTTCTAAACGCACGTAACAAAAATCATACGTCCAAATAACTTTTTCTGTTCATTTTTATTTTTCAATTGGAAAATTCGCGATCGCACCCACAGGTAAAAGGAGAGTAGTGTGTAAACACCGCTTAAAGCTAGTACTCTATGAGCATTCCCGCTCGCAAGTAAAAACGAGAAAATCAAAGATCGTAAAACAATAACAGTAACTCGCTTTTACAGTGTCTTTCTAGGTTTATTCTTTTTTTTTGATGATATGTGCAACGAAGTACTCAATAACTTAATAGTAGTTCAAGCCAATGAAACAGTACATATTTGTAAAATATTATTGTTATTATATTATAGTACATTATTTGTAAAATATTTATGATGATATCCCTTATCTTTCTGCCAAAAAAAAATGTATCATTTTATGTGGCTTTTCTATAACTCTTTAGGATATCTGTAATTCGTTGCGTAGCAGATTAAACAAAAAAATTATTCTAACAAGGTCATGCTTAAATGTTTTTTATGCAATTTTCGACTTTTAACAGTTCATGTTTCAATGGGTTTCCAGCACTTTGCTAAAGAAAATGTATCAAACAATTAGTACATTTCCTTTCATATTCACTATTGCATTGAAAGTACAACAAAATTGAAAAAAAAAAAAACTAAGAAAATAATTTTATTTAAAATTATCGTTCCAATAGACATTCGCTCAAATTATTCCAGAGATACGCTATTATTAAAAGTTTTAGTTACAAATATCGACAGCATTTAAAGTCAATTCCAAGTTATTCAAGAATTTAAATTGTGTTTTCTTTTTCTCATGACAAGCAAATGCTTTCAGAACCCTTAAGCATGACACCTACACTATATCCTTCTGACATAATGCATTTGTATGATTTTTTCTTTAATTTAGTAGAATGTTTCCCTAAGCCGTTTGAAATAACTTTGACTCATCATCTGCGATGGTTTTAAGTAATCATGCATAATGTCATCTGAAGATGTTTCAAATTTCTTAGTTGCATGTTTTGTATCCTCCTGCTTTTTTTTTTGTTTTCTTTCTTCACTATTTTACATAAAACAATTGATGCATATATGAATATTTGTGTTTGCGACATTTAAGCCAAAGAGGGAAAGAAAAGGAATCACCTCAATAAAAATCGCTTTGCGCCACAATGTCTGTGAATGCAATTGTTTCAACTCTTTTTGAGAATGTAACGCCGCAACCATCGAATCAGAGTTGGGAAATTGCGGGAAAATCAAACCCACAAAAAAGAAATGTGTATGGAATAATTTGACAAACATCCACATTCAAGTATAAATAAACATTTTAGTACGTTTAGCACAAAAAAAAACACACACACAAATAGGAATACATTAAAATCTCTCTCGCTCACACACACACACACATCTGATATGCATATTCATATTCTAATAGCATGCGACCAGGAGCCTCGCATTCATCTCGTTTTACTATTTACCTTTGCCAAAGTCCTTTATTGAAGCCTGAAATTGCACACAGACACCTACATACGTTCAAAGGTAGTGGTGAATTGCAAATGTTGGCAAGGGGCTTCTAAATAGGACAAATAGAGGCAACATTTCTACTTCAAGTTACGTCAAATCGAGATGCCTTTTTCCAATGTGTGTTTTTTATGAAGCCCTAGTAATATATTTCACCGAGATTTTCCGACATTATGTGTGGATGACGAATACATTATTTAGCACACTCAGAGCGAAGCTTCATTTTAATTTGTTGGAAGACTATTACTGCTCTACCGGTCGATTCATGATGTCTGTAAGTCATTGGGTGTACCCAACAATCGTTTTATGGCAGAGAAGAAGCAACAACATTGCATTGGCAACAAGCTGTTGTCGCATCCAATGGAGGTGATAATAGCATTGGTTACCTGCATCTGTGCAACATTTCTGGAGGATCCGCATTTGAATCTGGAGTGTTATTGCTTTGTGGATTTACTTCCCTTTCGACTTGTAGGACGTTTTCGTACTTTGTACGATTGAGGCTGTATCCGTTTCCAGGAAAATGTGCGCACACTTCCCCTGCCAATGAGACATGTGGCCGTAGTTATGTAAAAAATGCAAAACTGATTTTTTTTCTCTTCCAGCACCTTTCTAGCCTACTTGGAAAAGTTTTTAAGTCAACTATTAAAACACACTCACACACACACACACTTCTTCGCTCCACATGCATGGAGAGACAACGTATTATACACGAGAAGGTAGTTGTATATTTTTAATTGCAATGGTGTTAGCAATTTGCCTGCAGCCAGGATGCCATGTTTCCTCTTCCTCTTGGATGTTTGTTTGGCTTCGTTTGTCTGTTTCTTCTGGTGCTTTGTACGTTCGTTCATTCGTTTGTTTTGTTGCGGGTTCTCCAGTGTTTTTTGTGTGCTTTTCTTTAGTCTATTATTAGAAACTCTGTGTGATATTCATTGATTGAAGAAAATTGTTTAATTGTTTGCTTTTCCTTGAGAGGATGATGGCTATACATTAGGATGTATGTGCACATACTTACCGACATGGTTAAGTATATTTACACACACATACATATCGACATTTATTACCATTCCTTGTCCTTGCGTGTGTGTGTGAACATTGCTTCCTAATTAATTGTATGCCATAGTTCTGTGGGGAGTTTTTGTATGACGTGATTCATTTTTCTCACTTTTGTTGATGTTGTTTCTTTGTCTTCTCATTGCAGCCCCACCATCGTCAATTGAAATACAGGGATACGAGAATAATGCCAAAGTGGAGGTACGAGAGAATCAGGACCTGACATTGAAATGTGTGGTTTCAAATGCCAAACCAGCAGCACAAATCGTTTGGTACCGCGGCAATGTAGAGTACAAACCAGGTAAGCTGACGTGCGAATATCGATGAGCATGATTAAAAATTTAATAATTAATTTGTGGTGTTTGCTTTGCCATATCTAATGCACCAATAGGGTACTGTGTGCAATGTACACAGTCGCAGCGCAATTACAAGTTGGATTAACTTTTTTAAAATTAATATCTTAGGAATTTTAAATTGTCTCAATATGTTTCAGTCAATGATTATTTTGTCCTTTTTTTAGATTTTTTATTTCTTATAGAAAATAGTGTTCTAAAGCGATCATAAAAACTTAGTATATAATTTAGTAATGCGATTGAAAAATCGTAAATTAATTCAACTCAAGAGGTAACTCATAAATATTACTTAGAATGTGGAGAATGGAGCTGGGAGATTAGAATACTTTGTGTAACCTCCACTATGAATCGGGGACTTTTTATAAACATTGATATTATATTATGTTATTTCTCTAACAGAAAAATGAGTTGTGAACGTGAATTTCTTTTATTTCTAGGCTAGAGGGAATTTTGTTGTTATGCTATTTTTTTTGTTATAGTTTAGAGTTACGAATTAATACAGTAGTTAGGTTGTCAAAAGGAAATACTCTTCATAAACATTATCTCAAAATGTCTTGTACAAAATATTATTGATATCGGCAGCAAATGATTGCTTATATTTAGCTTAAAAGTCAAAACAGTTGCAACAATTTTAACGTTGTAGACTTGCGTCTAGGTACTTTATATATACGAAACCATTTTATTTAGAAATGCAAAAAAAAAAAGAAAAATTGGAGGGAATTATATATGGCATATATAACTAAATCGGACCGATTTTTGAATGAAAAAAGTAGAAAATATTCTTTAAAAAATTTTAAATTGTAATTTTTGTTTTTTATTTTCGAAGAAGACTCCTACGTAAAAAATTAGTTAGAGTTGGAATCCATCAAAAAATGGCATGTCATGTGTCACCGAATAAACTATGCATATGGGCGGAAAATTCTAAGTCATAGGCTTCTATTCGTTTTCCATTCGATGATTTCCACAGACGGACGGTCATCTTTAAATCGACATATGTAAACTTCTACACAGGCAAACATAGTTAACTAAATGCATATTTCGAGGTGTAACCTTCTATGTTGAATATAAAGTTTGTGTCTTGGCTTGTTTAATTCTGAATTTATCGTAACAAACCTATTACAAATCTGAGATCTCCAATGAGTATGGCAACCCTGTAGAAAAACAAAACACTTTCCCTGTATAAAGGCACCGTTTTCTGATACAGGGTTGTCCATATTCGATGGACCCATCTGGCAACGCCATAACTTTTGACAGAGATGTCACATCGCTTAATGACATACCGCGTTTGAAGCGTCAGTCCAAGCAGATTTTTACCATGAACCAATACACGCCACGCGAGCGCTCTGAAATAGTTGAAATTTACATTCAACAGAAGAAGTCAATTGTGAAAACTCAACGTGCTTTTAAAACATTAAAAAATGTGAGAAGTGCACCTTCTAAGAACACCATTAAGCGTTTATACGAAAAATTTTCGACTGTTAAGTCTTTTCTAATTCGAAGAAGCCATATAAAAGTCGACCAAGGCGATCGGCCGAGAATATCGCTGCCGTATGAGCCAGTGTTGAGAGGTCCCCAAGAACATCCCAAAAACGCCGTTAGCAGTTGGGCATGGCTCGGTCCACTTTACAACGGATTATTCGCATTGATTTGCATTTGATCTCGTACAAAATTCAATTGACGCAAACAATGTTGCCTGCGGACAAGCCTCGTCGATTGGAATGGGCCCAAAGAGTCATGTGTCCGTCGAATATGGGCAACCCTGAATATGTTTTAAGCTTCTCTTTTATTTGAGGAAAAATTCTCATCATATTATGATACAGACTTTTTTCATCTTTAGAAATGTTCCCAACAAATAGGAGTAGTTATAAATTAATTCGGAACGGAAGTCAAAATTTCATGTTTTTCATTAATTTATGTTCTGTATTCCCTTGAAGCGTCTTGAGAAAGAAAAGGGCTGAATCACTAACACCTCTGAGTTTCATCTAAACAACTGGTCTTTATTTAACAGGGGACCGGCGAATTTTATACGATTCTAAATACCTGAGTTGTTGCAACAGTTTGAATGGAATCGACGGGCCTTTCCTTTGGACACAGCCTGTGACAATTCGCCGGTGGGTATTGTTCTGACACATTTAAAAAATATTTCCACCAAGTGTAACTAAGGAATGAAGTCTAGACCACAGTAGCATTGTTAAGAACGGAACGACTGGCTACTGTCATATATTTATCTTTGCAGCAAAAGGTGGCAGAATGTGCTTTCAGGAATTTATTCCTGGATGTCACTTTTTAGTTGATTAGGTGACTTAAGGCGGAATATGGGGAAAGTTGTCATAGACTGTCCTATAATGTCAGGGATGACTTTGTAGAAGATAATGTAAGAATGCGTTCCCGGATGAAATTAATGATGGTTTCTAAGTAGTCGGATATCTTAACACTTTCGTCGTCAATGTTCACCACCGATGTATACAACCCATGATAACATTGAAATGAGCTCCTTGGTATATGTCCTGGCCTGAAGCTTTTCTACATCTTAGTACGATACTGTCTTTGATGCAGTCACTCTAAAGTTCGATATTAGGATGTTTTCATTTCAATCCATATTGTCAGCTCTCTGCACTTCAAACCTCTGTTTGCAATATTTACAAAAACATCGAAAATAACATATCAAAACGCTTGTCTTCTCATTCATAATCACAGATTGTTTATCTGAGACCTGAGGAGTTTGCTACCTCAATTCCCAAGATTATTTTAGATTGTCAATCATGTTTTTTACGAAAGTAATCTCCATTCTCATGGGATGTCTCATAATGGCCTTACATCGACTTCCTCATCGTCGTACAGTCATTATCCTTGACTCATCTCAATTTTATACATCTCTCGTTTTCCATTTATTTACCAATGTTGTGTGGTATCTCTATTAGACTAAAGTTTAATTTAATTTCATAAGGAAGACCGAAAGTTAATGACTTGGCGAAATGGCTTTGGCAATTATTCGCCTAATCAGCATTTCTAATCCTGAGATTTGTCTGCATGTGTCCCCAGTGCCAGACCTTTGAGCTCCACATCGTTGTATACATTTATTAATCAAGAAAGTAATTCGTGTCTATTGTATTCATAAGATTTAATCACATCACTGTCACAGTGGCCACTGGCCCCAGTCAATCAGTCAGTCAGCATGGCCAAGCAGAAAGCCAAACGTCTGAAGGCCACAAATAGGCAAAGAAAAAAGATTTGTTAACCATGGAATTACACCTGTGTATCTTGGAAGCAACAATGAACATAGGAAGGGAGAGAGCGGGTGAGCGGGAGAAAGAGGGAGAGGGAGAGAGAGAGAGAGCTGGAAAAAGTATACAAATTATCATCATAATTGAAAACCATTAAATAAAATGTTCTCACACAGAAAAAGTTTACCTTTATCCAGTGCAACTCGACTTGCTAAGTGAACAACTTTTTTCGTATTTTTGTTTTTTCTTGCCCGTTTATGTATTACAAGCTTTCAGCTCCGTATATCCTGTGCGCTGTTAACTTTTTTTGGTTTTGTAATTTCTATTTTGTTTTTATTGTCTGTGTGTTTTTGTGGCCGTTGATAGCAAAGTCATCATAACTCATGTTAGTAATTGTTTTGGAAGTTGGCAAAGGCCAACCGGGCAAGCTCCACAAACAGATATGGATGCGGACACGGACGCATACAAATGTTAACAATAGCCTCAGGAGAGCGAACAACTGAGCCAGCCAATCGCTTATAAAAATCCCAGTGGCTGCTGCTTTTGCTGCGGCAGTAGCGGTTTGGTAGGGCCATACAGGGCAAAGGAACATCAGAACAGCGGTTAAAACGAATGGTAGACAGAATTTTTAAAAGCAAAGATAAACATTAATTTATTTTATATCCCAAACGAAAGCATCGACTAAACGACCGGAACAGACACACAGCACTCATTCACACAAACACACGCACACACACACTATTACATGCGAAAATATGAGACAAGGCATCTGATGGATCTTCTATTAATAACGAAAGTGTCCCCTCAACAAAGTTCATCCGAAAATCGTTTTCAGTTTTGTTTTAGCAATAGACAACAGCAACAACAACAACACCAAAATTGTAATTGAGAAGCAAAATGAAACTAGAGCCTATGAAAATCAAAACACTTTAGATACAAGTCATGTATTCGAAGGACACGATTAATATAGTTAGATGCTCGTCTTGTATATGGTATGGCATGGCATGGCATATACGACAATATATAGACTATACGAGTAAGTACGAGTTCATACCCTTACAAAGAGTTCAAAATGTTTAATGGAACGGAGAGACCGATAAACATTCTCTTGATGGCTTTAATGGTTAAATGCGGTAGGACCCCGATTTTCTAGTCTGTGTCCCATTTACGAAAGAGCCTTGTTAATGTATGGCGACACATTTAGTAATAATTGAAATTATAATCCCAAATGAAATTCAAATTGAAAATTGAATGGGGAGGAATCAGTAGGAAGAAGATGGTTTATAAAGTCTTTACACATACATGCATGTATTTGCGTATTTGCCAATCTTATTGTAGACCCCCCGCCCCGACTACGTATTGGCAAGAGAGTCCTTTTTGATATCAAAATATACTCAAAATATTATGAATAGAAAGATTATGCTTATCAGAGATTAATATAAATTAACGGACAGTATTTTTTCACAAAACTGTCCTTAACTTGGCATCCATTAGTTCATGATTTTTTACTGATTATGTGGCTTGGAAATCAGTCTTAATTTGGAAATATAGTACAGCTTGTACTATGAAAAGAATCCATTTGAATAACGGGAAAGTGGAAAATCTGACGAATGCATAGTTTTGGTACTATAAAAGGCAAAAACGTTACAATTGTCGAAAAAAACTTAAAAATTGTGGATCCATGAAAAAATTAAAACTAAATTTATATAAAAAATATTGGTGTA